TCTAGGAGATAGGATAGGCAGACATGGTGCTCTGCGGCGTGCCGAGTCCAGGCGCTGGGCCGGCATCATCTAAGCCCTTCATTTGTGGGCAGGGAGAGGGCCGAATACGGATGAAATTCAGAGATCCTGGACTGGAAGAAGCCCTGCCCCACCCTGAGGAGGGCAAGGCAAGCAGTGATGGAGCTAAGGTTTGAAACAAAAGGAGGATCACTCTGGAAAGTGATTCCCTGGGACACAGACACTCAGTGGGGGGAGGGGCCTGCTCAGCTGCAGTGCCAGAGGTAGTGGGAAAGGGGAGATGAGGCCAGACAGGAGTTTGCCGCGGGGCGGGGATGGCCCTTTCCGGTGGAGGAGCATGCGGAGCGTCAGGCCCAGGTCCACCAGCCCAGCGTCCCATCTCCCTCAGTGGCCAGCACCACCCGTTTCAGAAGAAGGTGCAAGATCCTACAGTGGTGAGCAGGGACAGCCTCACCGGGGCCGGCTGCTGTGTCCTCCCCCCACCCCAGCCCTTGGCTCGAGCCCTGATCCAGAGGCGGACAGTCCTTGGTGGGGGGGGGGAGGGTACTTTTATCTTTGGGGCAACTCAATGTTCCCGCTACCCGTGTAAGTGCCCAATCCTGACCAGTGTCCCTCCAAGTCCTGGCACTGGTGCCCCAGGCCCCTAACACTCCATTCAGCTCCGGGCACCGCGCTGCCGGAAGTATATCGAAGAGCTGCAGGGAGTTCAGAGAAGAGGCACAGAACGCAACCCAGGAACAAAGGGGAGAGATTAAAGAGCTACGCCTGCCCAGTGGGGCTAGAAACAGTTCGGGAGGGGCCAGCCCTGCAGCGGGGTGGGAAGACCAAGGGAGGAGAGGAGCAATTGCGGAGCTGCATAAGGCCATAGCTGGGCGCAATGCGATGGAATTAAGGCAAGGAACAGCCCCGACTGCAAGCCGAAGTGACACAGGCCCCACCACTGGGGGGATTTAAAGAGAGACCAGACAACACGGTAGCAAGCGGGAGCTATGCTGCCCCACACTGCGGGAGGCAGCTGGGCTTTTCCACCCGTCTAGCCTCCCCCATTCCAGCCAAGCCTCTGCAATGAACATGTAAACGCTATTTACCAGCTGAGTGCTGCTGCTGGCTAGCGCACACAGCCAGCCAGGTAACTCAAGACCCACTCCGAGCCCTTCCTTCCCTCGCTGAGCCCAGCACAGAGAAGCCCCTTGGCATCCCCTCATTCCAAACCGGCCGCACACACTTCCTTCCCCGCGCACAGCGCGAGCGATAAATCTCACTTCGACGGACGCTCGCCGCAGGCCGCCCTGGCTCTCGAACACACTATGCTAATGCCGCCACGGTTGTATCAGAGCAAGCGGGACGGCCCTTTACATGTCACAAGCCAGCCCCAGAGACTGGGGGCTCGAGAACCACCTTGGGGCTGCAGGAGTCAGGTGGGAGAGTCACTCTGTCTGCAGCATGGCCACTGACCAGGGGAAGGGCAGCCCTTCGCTCTCCCAGTCACTGGCACCCCGAGACGTCGGGCAAGGGGATTTGCCTCTATCTACTGTCCAGCGAGGCTGCGGCTTACCGTGTTTCCCCGAAAGTAAGACATCCCCCGAAAATAAGACCTACTTCCAGTTTTGCCTCTCGCTGTAATATAAGGCATCCCCCGAAAATAAGACCTAGCGGCGGGCGCCGCCGCGCGGCTCACTGATTGGCTGCAGGACAAGAAAAATAAGACCTCCCCTGAAAATAAGACCTAGCGCATCTTTGGGAGCAAAAATTAATATAAGACACTGTCTTATTTTCGGGGAAACACGGTATACTACGACTGCACCTCGTCAGAGCAGCGCCCCCTAAGGGATGCAGAGAGAAAGAGCTGGAAACCTGCAGTGGGACACCACGGTGCTGAGCGTGGCACAGAGTGGCAGAAGGAGCCCCCTGGATGGACCGCTACCTGCAGCAGCCCCACAGGGGTCCGGTCTGAATGCCGGGCCATCGCATGTCAGCAGTTCCGATGCAGGAGGGAGCAAACGCTACCATCAGGCCAAGCCGCTACGAAATGATCCGTCTTCCCCTGGGGAGCAGGGCTCACGGGACACCAACCTCTCCAGCCATCCCCATCGTCCCAGTTGGGACCAGGCCAATTCTCCCCACTACATTGATGAACTGTAACTCCTGCTCCCCCATTGTGACTCAGTCAAACCCAAGGGGCAGGGACAAGGACAGACACACAACTCATCAGGCCGGGGCCCACCCCAGCCCAACATCTGCGACCAACCACTAACAGACAGTAAGTGCCACACGAACGCTGCCCCCAAGGTCTCCCAAGAAACCAGATGCGGCCGCCCCAGAGACAACACCCCCTCTTCCCAGCAGGCGGGCCCAGCCCTGACAAGTAGCCTCCCACCCCTCCCCTGCCGTGAGAGGGGAGGTCAGTCTCTATGGCCTTTCAACCCTTTGTCCCTCTGCCATTAAGGGGGCTCAAGGGAGGGCCTGGGGCACTGACACCTGTGGATTTTTGTCCACTAGGAACTAGACTGAACCCTTCGACTCAGACCAGACAGGCCCCAGCACTGGCACATGGCAACAGCCTCCCTCCCGGACAGATTCCAGCCAGCAAGCCGGAGGCACAAGGCTCCATATCCCGGCGTTAGCCCTCTGAGCCATCCTCTCCCCGCCTGGTGCTGAGGCGCATGGGCTACACATTAACAGTGCACCGTCCACACGCTGCTGCCCCCAGGGCCTGCTGGAGCCCGGAGCAGGCATTACAAGCCTGGCTGAAGGTCATGGCCACAAGTGCCTTCATTAGACTCAAGCTCGGTAACGAGCAGACTTCTGGCTTCCACTCAGCAGGGCCCCCCCAGGTGCACACACAGCTCCAGAGCGTAGGCCTTGGCCCTCGTCTGCATTACAAAACTATTTTGGTATAACTACGTCGCTCGGGGGTGTGAACAACCGCACGGCCAGTGACACAGCGATAGCGACCTAAGCGCCGGTGCAGACAGTGCCGTGTCGGCAGGAGAGCGTCTCCCGGCGACATAGCTACAGCCTGTCGCAGGAGGGGAGTAACGAAGCCGGTGGGAGAAGCTCTCCCCATTGGCTTTGAGCGTCTCCATTACAGTGCTGCAGTGGCACAGCTGTGCCCAGGCCGCGTTTGAAGCATAGACCTGCCCTCAGACTGAAAACCGAAAGGGCACACCCCAACGCACTTGGGGTGCTCCAAACTAGCCGCTGGGAAGAAAGGCCTAGGGCAAACCCTTCGTACAGTGCCCCCAGACACGGAGCCCATCACGCTAAGGACACAGCCACACAAACAGCCAGAAGGAAGCGCTTTCCATCCTACAAGAGCCAGGTATTGGCCAATCACCCGGCCAAGGCTACCGGGGCGGGGGAAGGGAGCGTGTCCCACGCACAGGCCAGAGCGGAGTCGGCACAGGAAGCGTTTGGCTGCAGGCACCGAGCGCATGCATCGGTGCCTGGGGCCCTGCCGTGCCATCCAGAGGCTGCAGACACCTGCACTAGAAGGCTGCAAGCCACCCAGAGACACATGGTACGTCAGCTCTGCGACGGGGGGCTAATGGGCTAGCTGCTCTTGGCGGGAGGGGATAAGCCAACTCCCCAATAACCAGGCCCCGCTGGGAATCCCAACAGTGCAGGAACCCACAGTGATCCGGTGCTTCCTGAGCACCCCCGGTCAACAAATCCCAGAGCGACGGGCTCAGAGCTGCCCTTGGAGTCTCTCCTCCCCCCGGTGCCCTCAGCATCCCCTAAGCTGTGTCGGGCTTTGGGCACTATACCTGTCCAAGGGTATGGCAAGAGCCAGTGGAGACAGCAGTCCCGGGGGTGTCCGCATCTGAGCAGCACCTCATCCCCTCAGGCAACACACGGTTCCCTGCCCCCAGGCCCTTGAGCAGCCCGGCGAAGGAACACGGGTGAGCAGGACAGACCCACGAGCCAGGCTCTGGCTGCAGGCACAGCCCGCTCACAGCTGCCTGGCTCGGAAGCACTCGAGCAGCTGTTAAATAATGTGTAAATCATTTGATGGAAAGAGCAGCATGAGGCGGGGAGAGGCCAGCCCGTGCATCTGAGCACAGGGGACTCAGAGCTGCACGGCCCCTTGACATTGTTTGTAAAACACTAGCAGTTTGGGCGGATGGCCAGTGCATGCAGGATTGGGAGCCAGAAGCCACAAGCTTTAACCCCAGCTGTGCCAGTGACTCCCTTAGGGATGGAGGGCGAGTCACAGCTGCTTTCTCCGGGTGATTCCCGGTCTGAAATGGGCACGAGAACACAACCACCACAAGGCAGGGGGGGGGGGGGGGAAGTAATACAGGCAAAAGGGCTTTGCAGACTGACCGTGCTAAGCACCGGCAGGAGAGTCTCACCAATAGTCACAGCAGGAAAAACACAGAGCTGGGGCACGTCCCCTGCTTGTATTCGCACTCACCACGAGGGTGACAGGGCCTAGTCCAATGAGGGCTATTGCCCCCGAGAGACAATAGATGCAGAAAGGCTAAAAGCCGCAAGGACTTCGGGCTCAGCTGCACTGACGGCGGGGGTTAGGTGGTAGAACTGCGTGGCTCAGGGGCGTGGACACACATTTGTCATGTCGACTCGGGCTTCCACGCGGAAGCCTCCAAGCAGCAGCACTTGGTGCCGTCTGCAGCACAAAGCGAAAACCAGAAACGCAAAGGAAATGGGGCAGTTCTCTGGCCTGCGTCACACAGACAACAGGGCACCGGGGTCGGGGTCGCAGTGCAATGAAGTTGGAGACCCACTGGAGTAGGTGATCCCGACCGTCTCACCTGGCCTTGGGATCTATGACAGACTTGCTGTAAAACCCTCGTTGTGGTGCCCTGCGTGTTAAACGGAGACACCGGGGCCAAGGTGGTATCAGCGAGAGTGCCAGGTATGATCACCACACTCAGCTGTGGCTGGAATGCGGTTAACTCTGTGCTCATCCTCAGAGCTAGCCAGCCCGGGGTTCCCAGCCTGCGTAGGTTGATACTCACATGCCTCCAATGGCAACAGTCGCACAGGTTCGCTCTGAGAAGGCAGGCACAGTCTCCGTGGCGGTGCTGGCAGGTCTGATGTAGTCCACAGTGACGTTCACCTGCAAGAGAAGGCAGCCAGGTCTGAGACTTCATAAACCACCAGAGCACATGATAAAGACAGACTGAGCCCGGGGTGAAGGGGCCTCTGCACCCATGCTGCTCAGGGGCTCTCTGAATGCGACCTTCCCCAGCCCCCTGCCCACACCCAGAACCAACTACAGGCTCCCAAATTCCCCGTCGGATCAAAGCATGCACTTCCCAGCTAACGCTAGCCAGGGTTGTGAGTTACAAGTGTAACATCTGACAGGCCAGCAGGAGACAATAGCAGAGAACATGTACACCAGGAGCCTTCCAGGTTTAACAAGCTGCACAGAACTTAACTGCTGCAGCCCTTGGCTCGGGGAGGAAAGCGCAGCTCCAGCCTTTGGGCTGAGAGAGCAGGACTGACCACACTTCACTGCTTCTCGCTCCCAAACGCACACGAGACGCAGCAGGGCGCCAGCAGCAGCACAGCACAACATGGAGACCGAATGGACAACCAAAGTTTGCCCAGGACAAGGCCCTGCCTATAATTTTACACAAACTAGATAGAGCTCTTAGTCCTGCTGCTGCCAATCGCAGAGGTCGTTAACACAGGCGGGCAGCTGGCAGAGATGGTGGCACGTTGCTGATCAGTGGGGTGTTGAGAACCAGCTACAAATCATTGTTTGGGAAAACCCCGAACACCCCTTTGGATACCAATTAAATATAGAAATCAGCATCCCCCTTGGACAGTATCGTACTGTCATTAGCATTCAGCTCCCAAACCACTTCAGACCCGTGCATCTGGAGTTAGCCGGCTAGTGTTTGTCCACACTAGACAAGGGCGTTTGTAAAACGTGGTTGCTACAATCCTGGTGCAGACACAGCGAGTGGTAGTTCGTAGTCTAGGCTCCCCGCCAGGGTCCACCTTGACCAGTCGAGCCGTGTGACCTACAACTTGCCCTATCTACACTGGGCTTTGAATCGTGTTGGCTGTTAACACATACCGTGGGTAAAAACCCTGGCCCTGCAGTGTCAGCGACAACATTGACTTTGACAGGGACACACCTCCACCCGTAGTCTCCCAGTACAGACAGGCCCGGATGGCCAGCTTTGGCTTCCCAGGATCGAAGCTGCTGGCCATCATCACCTAGTGACTGCACGATACAAACCCCTCTGGGCTGAAGCAGCACTCACTCCTGTGCCAGCTCTCTGCACAGAGACCAGTTTTACCCTCCAGAGGCTCCTGTGGCCAGGGCAGGGGGAGCTGTTCCTGCCCCATTCGCCTCCCTACAATCAAAGTCGCCCCTGCATAAAATTCCCAGGGATGCCGCTGTTCATGGTAAAGAGCTCAGATGGTCACGTTCTCTCTGTTCCCTTTCAAGAAGGCTACAGATGATGCACCAGTGTGGAGGAGCCGCAGCTGAGGAAATCCGCTAATCCCAAGGTGGTTTGTACAGGGAGGAAAGCCCAAGTGGAAGGAACGGGTGGGAGATCCTGAGTGCAGAGTTTAGGCGGCTACATTTCCAAGAGTGACTCTTGGCCTTGGCTGCCCGACTTTGATGCACTGAAGGAGCCTGCTCTTCCCAGGGGCCGTGCTCGGCACTTTCTGAAAAGCAGGCCCCGTTCCATGGGAATTGCCAGATGGATCAGACCCCAGAAGCCCATCTAGTCCTGCATCCTGTCACTGACACCCAGAGAACGGGGCAAGAAGCCCAGTGGGGGACAGACGGGGGATAATCTGCCCTCCCCATGAAAGTCTCATCCCAGAGATTGGTTTGAACCCTGGAACAGGGGCTCTCCCCCTTCCCAAACTCTCTTTACAGCTTTGGCTAGAACAACTCTGGATGTTGTTATCCAGATACTATCCAAACCGCCTTTGAACCTTGCTAACTTCTTGGATTTAACTTTCTGTAGCAGAGCAGGGAGTTCCACAAGCCAAACGTACGTATGACAAAGCGTTTTCTTTTCCGTTTTGAACTGACCTTTCAGTTGTGCTGAATGCCCCCTTGGCACTGTCTGATAAGACGGGATTAAGTTAAATGGGCCCCTTTTGGTCAGCTTGGCCATCAATTTTCAAACAAATGCAACAGAATTCCGACTCGTTAGCTAGCTCTGCACGATGCAGTGGTACAGGCGTCCAATCCAGTACCGGTGAGTTTGAACAGCAATTCCCAACTGCAATAGAAAGGGCAGCACAAGAGGGGCTAGGGGAATTTCAACTGAAGGGCTGAAGTGTTTGAACAAAGCCTGTTACCTAATTCATGCCAACAGCTACATTTCTATGTAAATCCAACTTAATCCGGCTGCTTTGCTTACTCCAAAAACTTACTTCCCAACATTTTAACTGCCCCTTAATCCAGATAAAGCCGAGGTTATTCCAGTAATTGGGGGATGGAGATGGGAGAGGGTGTCAGCATCAAGTAATCTGCCTTGCCAGACTTGGAGGGGCTTGGATTTCCCAGCTACTGTGGGACTCTCTCCTGCTAGCAGAGTTCAGACCCATCATTTTCCAGTAGCAAAGGCAGCAACTGTGGTGTGGGAATGGCACAGCCATGCCATTGGTGAGTGCCCACACAGTCTGCACCAGCGCTACTCCCCCAGGGGAGAGCCAGACATTCCCAAGCAGACAAGGCCCTAGAGCGGACCTGAGACCCAGGCCTTTCACAGCCCAAGGCAGAATCGCTGCAACCTCCTCACACACTGCAACCCGCCTTGCCTGTCGATGGGCTCCAGCCCACCCAGCTTTAAACAGGGTGGGCCGTGGCTCCCTCGGAAAGAGGCAGCAGCTCTCAGCTGGCAGCCCCCTAAATGTAATCAAGAGGCAGCGGGGGGATCCTGGCCTGTGTTTCGTCCCCTGCTGGGTGTGGGGCCTGGCAGATCGCGCTCCAAGGCATGCTTTCCCAGGATTGGTTTCTTGGGAGGGAAGATGGAAGCAGTTGGTTTTAGGGAGGAAGGGAGGGTGACTCTCCCCTGCTTAGAAGTAATCAGGCAGCAAAAGAGGGGAGACAGGCGCTGACAGGGCCCAGCACGAGGTCTCCCTTGGTAGGTCACCAACCCATGGAGCTCCAAGTGTCTCATATGCCCACATGGCTAAGCCTTCTCTCTGCCTTAGGGTTCCCTCACTGCAGCAGCTGGGCACCTTGCACACAAAGATGATCAGCAGTAGCCGAGTCTCTAGTGGACTTCATGGAGCGCACAGCTCTTCTCCCAAAGCCTTGCTACTCACCCCGCCCACCCAACCGAGATACAAAGTGAGTGCTCCCACCAAGGAGATTTCTGAGTGCTGCTTCCGCAGCTCAGCTGTGCTCTGCAGCCAGCCAGCAGGAGGAATCTTTTATACATCACTTTTTTTTTTTTCCAGGTAGGGTTTTTTCCTCTCTTTTACACCTTGTACTTCGAGCTAGCACCTTCGTTCCACTTTCAGCCTCGACTGATCAAGTCAAAAGGGAGCAGGAGACAGACAGGCGTCAAGTTCATCAATGTTACAAGAGTGTCTTGAAAGCCCTTTCAACTGTCGGCTCTTTACAAGCCTTGCGTTTAAAAGGAGCATAAAAATGCAAAAAGGTACGACTCACTCAAAGCCTCCTGCCATCGGCTCACTCGCTCGTACAAAGGAGCTAATCATGTCTGGGAAGCAACAAGAGGGAACTCTGTCAGGGAAGAGCCAATTAAGGGGGGAGGTTAAAGTAATTCCTTCTGGTGAAACTACTGTCATAACAACTCTGTGGGGGGAGGGGAGAGGAATGATAATTTGGAAAGGGAAATTAGGAAATCCAAACTCGCCCAGGGTTGCTCTCAGCAGCAAGGAGCAGCGCATTTCGGAGACGCCTTGACCAGAAGCAGGCAATAACTTTTGGCTAAAGATGGGGACAAGCAGCTGACCCAAGAGCTGACTCAAAGACATGCTCACCTCCCAGGCATGCTCCAGCACACGGCCACGGCCACGCCTGGGGTGCTGTGTACGTACCGGGGTAAGGAGGTCAGCAGCACAAAGGGTCGTTGCATTTCACACCTCAAGACGCGGGTTCAAATCCAAAATGGGGGGAAGGAGTATGGTGGCTGAGTTGTGGACTGAGGTTCACTAGACATGCAAAGTATCACAACAAGGTGGCATGAACAGTGGCATCTGCCCTGGACAGTAGGTTCAGGCGCCCTGGCAAAGCCGACATGCCACCAGCCTGTACTACGCCAGCGTGGTTAAATCCTTCGCTTCTCTTAGCAAAATCCACTCCCCCCGGACAAAACACCCCACAAATTCCCTACACATTCAATCTGACAGGCCTCAAAACAGTTCGCATCCAGGCTGACAATGCTTCCTTCCTGGTGCCACTTTCAGAGGCAGGGATGTGAATCTAATTCCCACTTTACTCACCCGCTACAAAATGCAGCCAAAGCATTGAGACCAAAGGTGGAAAGGACCTACCGTTGCCAACTTTCATGCGGTAAATAAGCACCCCGACTTTCACAATAAGCCAAAAAACAAGCTAATCCCATTTCAAAACAAGCCAGTCCTTAAGAACCCCCACACTCTATGTGACTAGATCCACCGGCATGCAGTCTGGACCTGTGGTGGGCCCACTGTGCACCCCTGACTCTCCCTTGCCCCTGCTTGCCGGGAGCTATCAAAACAAAGAAGCTACAAGCCAAAAACTAGCAAAACAAGCAACTCACAAGTCAATTAGGCCAAAAACAAGCCCAATTTCTGCGTTTTTCCCTCGGGTTTGGCATGTCTGAAAGGACCCAAGGGCCAGTGAGTGCAAACACCACACAGCCGATATTAAGGAGGCTGACGTGACAGGCCAACAAGTCATGGAGCACTCTTGGTGACGGGTGAAATGTTCTACCCCACTGACCCAACAGCACCCAAAGCAACAAGAAGTTACTCACCTTGTGCAGTAACGATGGTTCTTCGAGGTGCGTGTGCCTACGGAGCTCCCCGGTAGGCGTGCCTACCGCCCTCCAGTAGAGCACCCTAGGGACACTACTTGAACCAGCAACGGCTATGCCACTGCCATAGCATCAGGGCGGGGGCGTG